AATTTCTCAGTAGTTTCTGTTATCCAAAATACCACAAAACTACTAAATTCAAGAGATTTACATGTAGTTTATCGATACGCATTATTTCCATTGAAGCCTGCGAGTAAATCAAATGCCAAGGTCACGAAAGCGACATGCAAGTTCAAGGCCAACCAACTGATACATTTCAAAACAAATAACACGCAATGAACTTATTTATTTCATCTCTCTACGATTGACTGACCATGTGCAGACATTGTTACAACGTATGAAACCCCCCTCATTGGTATTGTAACGGTTAGTTCAACCTGGCAACAGTTTTCAGTTCCGAAGCGTGTACGCTCCCACCCTATGTGCCCTCACCGGAATTGTGCACTGCGCGAGCGCAAGCAATTTTAACTAAAATATATTAAAATTGCATTTTAAGTTTCAATCGATCTTCGTGAAACGCTTAAAATTTAAAATTTCATTTTGATTTTAGTTAAAATCTATTTTAATGATTTTAGTTTAAGTTTTTGTGAAACAGGGCCCAGGCATCGAACCCACAGACTTCTCGGCTAACTATAGTCCCACAATTAGTTAAGTATACATAAATGAAATGAAATCGAGTTTAACGTTCTACTGTTCCGCTACGACTGGGCACAGTGTGCTAGAAGGGAAATTTTGCCCGGACAGCGACCTACTCTTATATCGAATTCCAACTGCTAAGGATTCTTTTACGTGCACACCAATGTGTACACGAAACCTCTGTTTTTCGTGCCGTCAGAACGGCTAAACGTTGTCTCTTGCCAGGCCCTCTGTCCTGCACCTCTGACAAGGGGAACCACGCCAGAAAATTTTTAATAACTATAAACTTTCTCGGCTAACACGGGAATCGAACACGACACCTCCAGGTAAGCATGCCAACGTCTTACTCACTGAGCCACCGTAGAAATAAGGTGAGTCGCTCATAATATGCAAGTGGTACAATCAATATTCGGTTGCACTTCTCCGAAACATTACAAAAAACGTAGTTCATCAAAAAATACCCTCGTTAAGTTTACGAATCGTGATCAAAAGAAAAAAGCTTATAATTAGTCCAATCCATTGCCCTTACTAGCAGTGAAGGGTGTTGTGCATGGGGTAATGTATGCATATTCTTTCTAGCACACCTTGTACTAGTTGAAAAGTTTATATAGCTAAGACTTGGACTATTCTACGCGGGTTAATTAGGGCTTCGATGTCTATAATCAAAATAAAGTTAAATCCGTACATGGGGTAGGCTATGCTTACTATTTCTAGAACGCCACATCTCTTTTAGTTGGGGATTTAAAGGACAATATTGGTGTCAGTCATTATCACATATGTGATAAAACTGGTTTAACACGTTCCAAATATAATTTGACTGAAACCAATATTGTCCTTTAACATATATAGCTAACGAAGTTTGTTATATCCTTGTACTGAAGGCAATTCTGGACCAATCCACGTTTACATCGGCGTCTAAAATAAAGGTCTAATTCTTTTCGACAGACATTAAATAATGAATGGTCTCGTACACGAGGAAGAATATGCTAGAGATTTCTAGAACACCTGATACGACTTCTCATTTAGTTGGAAATTGAACATAGCTAATGACTTTTGTTATATACGAACCTAGGATTAATCTGTACGGCTTTATGGTCGGAATGTATCTCAAGGGAACGTTTCAACCTTTTAAGTGGCATGTAATTTGCTTTTCACACACGAGGAAGGTTAATTAAATCTTTTGACCTATAAATAAAGTAGATACATGGAGAAAAGAAAGTCGATAAACGATGAATATTGCTCAGACTAACCAATCAGCCTCACAGTAGTGGCTAAGAACAGAGTTATGTGACCCAATCAGCTGATGCTATGCGCCGCAGATCACAGGCCTCTCGCCAACCCATTCATTGTTTGATCACTTAATCGTATGTGAAGGGGGGGGGGGCGCACACCCACTAATCCGTATCCTTCTGAAAAACCTTTGGTTGTACGTGGCGATGAAGATTGGGCCCCAGACTATGAAACACCAGTTATGCCCTGGTAATGACTGACGGAGTAGTTCGTGTTTGACATCTGCCTCCACGATAGTGATATCGCAGACAAGCAGACCGATCAAGCTGAAGTGGGACAACTTCTTGACGTAACCTGTCGGTACAAGTCAGTTAATAGAGACTATGTTCTTAAAGTCCCCTTCACACACAACGTAGACCTTGCTACGTGCTTACTATGCGCAAAAAAATCTTTCTTCAGAGCGTGATAATTCAGGCCGCCGTGAAATGTGGAAGAAAGCCGCAAGTGTGAAGTCAACTACGCTCTAAGTACGCGCAAAATCACAGAAATTTTCACCCTTTTCCAGGTTCTCACAACATTAACCACGCCACATACGTCCTCACCACGCCTCGTCCACGTTCAACCACATTGCCACTACGCAGTCCCCGCTCTCACTATGTTCTCCTGTAATTTGGAATAAAATCTATTGAGTTAGACCCATATTTTGACTTACTAGGTTTTTCGCTTTCCATTTAAAGTGTTAAAGTGTGTGAAACTCTCACCTGTTGGCAGTTTTTCATCTGCTAGAACCTAGTAAGTATACTGACATACCAGGGTTTTTTTTTACCAGGTTGCAGGAGCATTATCTCCACGCTTTCTTTTCCACCACTACTTCGGTACGCGATCAGGGTGCAAGTTCCATACCCGCGTGGTGACGTCGTGGCCTGTCACGCTCTCCATATTCCTACCATGACCCAATCTCGCGCCTAATACGCAATCTGGTTAAAACACAGATCCTATTTCGTTTCGTTTTTATAGTTCAAAATTTCGTTTTACTTGTCTTTACTACACTTGGATCTGGAAGAATTGTTATTAAACTCGTGTTCTGAATGGTATCAGGGATAAGCCAATGAAACTGTCTGTTACGGCGAGCTTTATGCGTGTTTTGCACGGAACTGTTGGTAATCCACTAGTAACATCAATGCTGATTGGTTAATCAAATGTCTGACATCATAGGGTCATAAGTCGGTCTTTTGACCCCTGACGTGGCCTATCGCTATAACTAGTCAGATCTTCATGTAGTGTAGGCCATCGAAAGTATAAAAAAAACGAAACGAAATATAGATGTGTATTTTAATCAGATTGGCCTAATACGCTGACAAAGACCTCGTAACGTCCATACCGCTCTCAGCTAAGATCTGGGTAATTTTTGAAGTCGTAGGAACGTCGTTGTGTATGCGTGATGTGGGGATAAGCAAATATTTTCAATAACAACGGATTTTCATATAAAATCGCCCAACGATATAAACGGTAAAACTGGTCGGGATGAAGGATGGCCAGTCAGATCGTTAACCTTCCTCAAGACACCCAAGCGGTAAAACAAGTCGAGCTGAAGGGTAGAGATTCAGAGTTGACCTGGTGTATTAGGTTTTCTCCGGGTCCTCCGGTTTCGTCCCACTGTTAAAGGCCCCTACGCGCAAACGAATTATTGAAATAAAATTGAACCATATGTTAGTCCCAAAATGACCCAGTTTGTGTCGAGTGGACGTTAAATCCCAGTTCTCTCTCTCTAGTTTGGGAAGATTAAGTATAAGTATACACTGTCTCGTGAACAATACCCGTATTAGAACCAGATTCAATTAATCTATCACAATAACTGTCCCAATTTTTTTTTTTTTTTTTTTTTTTTCTTTTGTACAACTTTATCTAGTTTAGATTAAAACTATGCCGTTCAGTCAGGGTGACCTTGAAACATTTTGTAAAGACCGAATGTCACAGGAAGAGCTAATAATGGCGTTCTTATCAGGACTGATTTTATCTTGTAGACATTGGTTTTCTGTGAAATTCATAGATTTACATATGGGAAGTTTCAACTCCCTCGGCTTGAGAAATAAAATAAAATGTTGTTTAAATTAAGATCCAGCTTTTCTGCACCAACTGGACTAATGCAGTATGCCATGCTGTGTGTTATGAGGGAACGTGCCATGCAGTGTGTTATGAGGGAACGTGCCATACAGTGTGTTATGAGGGAACGTGCCATGCAGTTGGTTATGAGGGAACGTGCCATGCAGTGTGTTATGAGGGAACGCGCCATGCAGTGTGCTATGAGGGAACGCGCCAGGCTGTGTGCTATTAGGGACATTTTGCCTGGATAGCGGTATTTCCGCCTACTCTTAGCAACGCCGGATTAACCATGGTGGGGGCCCTGGGGCCTGGAACATGTGGGGGGCCCCTGATCACCGACCGTGGAGAGCGCCGAAGGCGCGAAGCCCCACAAGGGGGGTCTGGGGGGGGGGGGTCTCCCCCCTGTAAATTTTCAGAAATTGGAGGCCGGAAACGGGATTTCCTGGCATTTCAGGCGCTTGTGTGGAGCCATTTAGAAGTACCTCCCCCACCAAAAAAAAAATAAAATTCTGCCACAAAATTAGCGCATTCTGGCGTTATTTCAGTGGACCAATCCATGCGAGTGCTATGAAATGATGGCATTTCTAGAGGAGGGGGCTGGAAACAACTGAGATTTTTGTGGGGGGCCCTCTAATGTGGGGGGGCCCTGGGGCCTGTGCCCCATGGTTAATTTCAACAGCCAGGGGTTTATTTACGTGCATGCCAATGTGTACATGATTTCCCGGTTTTCGTCCCAACGGAACGACTAGACATTTTTTCTTGCCAGATCCTTTGTGCAGCAGTACTGACAAGGGGAATCCACGCCGGAAACGTCTCGGCAAACACCAGAATCTAACCCGCGAGCACGACCTTTTGGTGAGGGAACTATGCACCGTATTACCAGAGGAATAATCAGAAATACCAATGTTTGGGCAAAATTAGCACTTCACACGTAGCCATAGAAATAAAATTGCCATTTGTTATAGTCAAAACGACCTTAGTAAAGTTTCGATGCAACTTCAAACCCCATTTCATTCCAAGGCCTATTAACATTTCAGCGATCACGCCGGTGTTATAATAGAGATAAGATCGACCTGTAGATTATAAACACAGATAATAAAGTTGTACCAATTGTTCATAGACTTGTTGAAATCCATATAATGAAGAGGTCGAGAGTAACTGGGACTAGTGCCTTTGTTTTACTGTTATGTAAGTTTCCAATTCATTATAACTGGGATATTACAGACAGTCTAATTCTGTTATATGTATCCCTGATTTTATTTGGTTTTAAAAAACGTTAATCGCAGCTGTGGGCCGTTGTCATTTCCTATAGTAATAACTACTTACGGCTACTAACTAATTCAGTGGGCCGGATATGGATTTCAGAAGCTAGAGGCTACTGGGTAGAATTATAAATAACAATTTGAAATGTGGTGATCATTCAAATGGTTGTTGGAAGGGGTAACTGGTGTGTTATTATTATTTATAAGTAAAACAACCTTTCTGTGTCGTGCACAAGACCTGGTAGCTGCCGGTGGTTGGAGGGGCAAAGCTGGGGCAAAGTCAAAGATTACGCGGGCAAAGGCTCGAGATCTGACCAGATACGGATGTCGCCTGCCCACTAATTTATCCGATCAGAGTGGATAGTGTCAAACGAACGGACTTGCGAACCTGGAGGAAGTCCCATTATGGGGGTCAAAGTAGCGAAAATTTTGAAAAATAAACAGCCGGAAATGCAGCCTGACAGTATTCAGACACCGATTTTCGAGATAAATAGAGCTGACCAGATACGGTGTCGACAGTGGAACACAACATCTTAAAACTGGCTTTATCTGTAGATTAATTTTCAACACACAAAACAGTACCGAAAAGATAAACTACATAGATATTGCAAGAAATAAACAATAAATATCAAATCAACTGTATATTCCCGGGGCCCAGTCTTAAGAATCCACTGCGCTGTACAGTCCCGGGCCTGTAATGATACAGGCTTCAACCAAATTGGGAAAAAACCCAATTAAGTAATGATTTTCAATAGAAATAATGCGATCGGTCTTGACGTCGGTCTTCTCCTGAATGGCGATAGTCTGCCAGCTGACGATAAAGATTAAGCATATAAAAATCTAATAAAATCGACAAGTTAGTTTTGTCCACAATCAAAGAGTTCTAGTCATTTTAGAATACGCAATAATAAAGATAAGTTGATAATACTAACTTCCTGTGGGCTCGGGGTGAACGACCCATGCTCTTAATAATCTGTATTCAGATGTTCCATAGTACAACAAAGTCGGAAACAGAGTCGGGCCTACACTTGTGCGAAACTGAAGCCTGAACTATCATTCTCAATCAGCAACGTGGGCTGGGTAGCCACGGTAAACGTCTTCAGTGGCGTTGCTCAATGGCAGAAGAAACCCTACATTCGTGTAATTAACCCTATGCTCTGGTTCTACATAGGAAATTTTCAGGGGACCCACAAATAGTACAGTAGTTATTCACCCCTAGACTTCCATTCACCCCTATGTGGTAACGGACAGGTGACTACAGTGGTTCTACAATTTTTAAACAGTGCACTCGCTTCTTCGGGGTTAGCATAACGTGTAAGAATACCAGAAATAAAAACCTGTTAATATAGTAAATAATATGAAAACATCTATTTATATAGGTCTGTATAGTCAACACGTGTCTGCAGCATTACCGGGAAATTGTGTACACCTTGAAGATAAGCCCCTGGATACAACAGATCCAATTACCATATTTGGTGCTAACAATGAGCTTGAAGGTCGTGCTAAACCAACCAGAACCGGCAATCTCAGACGGTCTAGAGCTCTACCTACTGGACACTTTGCAACTAATCACATCAAGCCAAACTCAATTCCTTTAAGACTCTTTCCATATGAAGGTTTGCCTGATTTTATTAAACTCGTATCTTTAATAGGAACCATGAAAGTTGAATAATCATGTGTTACGCGAAGGACCACTAACAGAATTTTTATGTGCTGGAGCAAAACAAATTTTACCCCCCCCCCCACTCCTCCATTTCCATAGTACTACATCGGGGATCGAATCAAGGGTTTTGTGGCACGAATACTGGCCATGCAGACGTAAACAAAGTGGTTATCTATCGACCCTCTGGCCCATTATTGGCACCGGCTGCACCAGTACACCCGTCCTCTCCAGGACAAGGAGGTTAGGGCTTGGAAGTTAACCAATGTACTCCTGGGGGTTCCAGAGGGATGAGGACGAACTCAAGAATCACCCAGGACGACACATCTCTATTTAAGCCACTAGTTTGGTGTCCAAATTCTTCAACTTTCAGAGCAAATCAGAGCAAACACCTCCATCTGCACTGAACGTCCATTCTATATTTGAAAGTAGTTATGACGTCTGTATCGGACGTGTATTTTATAACTGAAGGTATTTAAGCTTATTTTTCACAAGGTTAAGAAACCTGATAATTTATACTTGTAGCAAACATGGACAAAAATGGCGTCACATATGATGCTTACACAATGGACAGGTGGACCAAGTCCGACAGAACCGATCTTATGGAAGAACAATCCGCTTGGCAATCCGGACAACCCTGGAACAGACTCGACAAAATGGGAACTAACTTGAAACAGATGGTTGCTGGTCCTGACGGAAATCCGATGGGGGTGTTTTCAGGTACTGTATTGTCATATATTTGATTTTGAAATGTACCCTTAAATTGTTAGGGAAGGGGGGGGGGGTATGTGTCCGCTAATCACCCCGGGTTTCTTTCCCAGTTCTAACCAGACGTCTGCTGTCTTGGCATATAGTTCTGTCAGGCAAGACAACAGAGCGCTCGCTTAATATACATTTAACTGAATCATGTTGTTGATAATTCTATATTTCAATATTTGAATCAGTAAAATAAAATCGTGGTAGCGAGGGGTAGTAGTTAGATAGGCGTTCCTAACTCTTGTCGTTTTCAGCTGTGGATTAAGTTGCTGAAGGACCAATGATCAACCCCTCCAAAATTTAGACCACTGACGATTCTGCGACATTTAGCTACACTATATGACAAACACAGAAAACATGAGCACATGGTCGACTAAACCTACACATTGTGATTATTTTAATTTCAGGAAAATCAGGAGTTAGAATTGGAATAGCTGGTGCAGGGGAGCCTACTCTTACAGACTTTGGTGATTTATTTGCAAACTTTATATACAATGGACATGGAGGAAGCATGGAGGTGAGCATTGATCATTATACACGTACTCTAATTCCGTTAACACGTGGAGTAGATTGTCTCAAATTAAAGGGCGTACATGTCTCATTTAATCCTCTATGATAGACCAAATAAAACTATCAGACCAGGCTGCTAATAACGAACGATTAAATCTCCTTTTATAGATCTTATGCCCGCCATTTAGATCTACAGATCTTTTTGGCTGATATTTTGCTTCTGTTACTTTACAGTCTGCGCTTGTTTAGCTTTTGGAGGGTGTCGTTTATACGGTAGAGTATGCTTAAATGTCCGGAATAAATGTTCCTACTTTGATTTTCTATGCACCGTTAGGAAGTCCTCTTACTTCTGTTTCGAATTTTGCCATATAATGTTTACTGGATTTTTTGTATTCAATCTATTATACCATGCCTACTATTGAAACTAATCATGGTTCCCAAATGCCATGTATTGGGATGGACAAAATTAAATCTAAAATTTTACTACATACTGTACTTGGCAAATCAATTGTTGCTCTTTAAAGCAGCTGATCTGGTCATCATGTCCTCGATTTTGGAACCCCAGCAAACTAAAATATCGTGAATCTCGGCTCTCTTAAAGTAATGGGGGGTAGGGGTCGTGGTTGAATGGTTAACGCGTGTGCGTTGTTTCGTGAGGTATGTCATTGAGTCAACATTCGTGGATTCGATTCCCCGGTTGTATGTGACAAGGAGTAGGGTCGCCTGCCCAACCTCGTGTGTTTTCTCCGGGTTTTCTCCCATTGCTAAAGATCCTACGCGCATGCGAATTATTGAAATAAAATTGAACCATATGTTAGTCCCGAAATGACCTAGTTTATGTCGAGTGGATGTCAAACACCATTTCTCTCTCTTAAAATAATATAGTTCAAAAATGGTTCAGTTTTGTAAAGAATCCACAAAGATGAGACGAATTGAAATATACTAGCAACATCTGACAATATCTGAAGAAGATATAATCAAGTGAATACCACCTATGGATGTTGGGTACAATCTTTGATTAATCGCTTTTTAATCTGAGTGTCCAGTGTTGAGATTTTGGTGTTATGGGGGTTATTTAAATAAAAGTTAAATTATTAATTTGAGTACAGTTTAGCGTAGATTAAGCCATGAAAACTTAGATATTGTCTGCAGGTTGGGACCAGGGCAATGTTTGATGGCCGATGTGTCGTTTTGTCGGGAATGATAATTGTTGTTTTCCACAATGTTACACTAAATTATTATTTCGTTTAGGTTCCTGTTGTAAGGGGAGCAACTCTACTTACTCATATCTTAAAGAACGCCAATCCAGTAATTAAACCATACTGTCTGAGTTCTATCAATGGACATGCTGTTAAATTTGGTTGTCCTATGGAACCGTCAGGTAGGCAATGATAGACATGAAAACGTTCCGCTTTTATGTACTGATCACTCCCTGATTGCATTAGTTCAGTGGTTGTCAAACTGTTTTTGCCAACGGCACACCTTGGAACTCATGACAAAATAGCGGCCCACCTGGCTAAATATATATGAACAATGTTTGAATTTTGCAAAATAAAAACATGGCAAGTCATAGATGGCATACAACCGTAGACACAGACTAGTCATAGACACATAGAATGACTCAAACTAACTAGATGAAAAACACTGTTATGAACTTACTTTATTGCAGTGTTTCGAATTTCATCAGTCAAATATCTGGCTTCTTAGAGAGGAATTGTCTTATTGTGCCGTTCCAAATTTCGCGGCACACTTAGGAAGATGTCGCGGCACACCTGTGTGTCGCGGCACACTGGTTGAGAATCACTGCATTAGTAAATAGCCGAAAGTATGTCTTTTGCAAGGAAACGGGTTTGCCGCAGAGATATTTACTCTAACCCGCCAGAACCTTTCTTGTGGCCTTAACTTATTTTGCGTGAATGTCGGCAGCCGAGAGGTCCATCTATCGTTTATTCATAGTGGGTGTCAGACGAAGAAAACTGTTTTCGTTTATAAAATGCTTAACGCAGGCAAATTTGGGGAGATTACAGAATCTGTTGATCAAGGTTTCTAACACTATGTCGTACCAAATCGATAATCCGGGCATTCATTACACGTGCAATATGGTTAATTGGAGCATGCGCCATTTTTCAATTCTTAATAAACAAATAGACATTGTGACAGCTGAATATTAAAACAAAGTCCCAAGTAAATGGCAACGCTTTTACAATGATATTAAAATATATGATGTACCAATAAGGTGAAGAGGGTACTAGACCTGTTAGAGGACACCATGACAGATGGGCCTAGTGACGGGTGGTATAAGGACTGGTGTTCGTAAAAGGTAAGAATGCCATCGATAACGTTTTGTTTACATGACCTAAACGAAGAGTTCCGTCATTTCGTATGGTTGTCAACGTTAGGACTGCTAGGATTTACCCTCCAGATCTGGCTAATATAATTGTTGATTTTGTTTTATTGACAAGGGCCAGTCTACGTTGTTTGTTTGTAGTTGTAGCTGGGGAAAATAGTCCCCTTTCACTGGTTGGAATCGCCAGGTACGGTCAATAAGTGACTTGTTTGCGAGATGCCAGTCATCATTCTGGACAATTCGTCGAAGTTTTGATTTCTGTCCCCTCGGTAAATCATTGGGGCCAACTTATCAGTTGTGGTGTACCAGCAACTGATGATAGGGTCCGCGGCAGATTGCTCTGTTTTTAGGCAAATGCATCTTTGCCGTGATTCAATATTTTAGCGGCAGATGGAGGAAGTGGATATTTAACTGGAGTCTGTCATGGTGGGAATCTCCATATCAGCCTTCACAATACTCGACCTATAAAAGATGTCACTAAGTTACAATGGGCTGCCCAAACTCAACACACGTGGCAACAGAAAACAATGAGGAGCTGTGATGCTAGTCATTGCAAGGTTTCGTCTGATGGTAAAACGGTTTCCATAGTAATACCAAACGCTTCAGGTATATTTTTTATTGTCTTTTGACTTATTCGACTCCATGACTATTATAGATAGAGTATAAGAAATCCTGCGAATAATTATTTACGTATAACGAAGGCTACATTAAGGAACGCCTGACGCGTTTGTCGATGCTCTGTCATCTTTTACTTTAGGGTACAGTCGATGCTCTGACATATTCTTTTTTAGAGTACAGTCGATACTCTGACATATTCTATTTTAGAGTACAGTCGATGCTCTGACATATTCTATTTTAGAGTACAGTCGATACGCTGACATATTCTATTTTAGAGTACAGTCGATACGCTGACATATTCTATTTTAGAGTACAGTCAGTACTCTGACATTCTTTACTTTAGAGTATAGTCGGTGCTCTAACATATTTTACTTTACTTATCGGATCAATTTAAAGTTTTTGTTTTTGAAAAGAGTTGTATGTGAATTCAGTAAATGTTTTTAGGGCATGTTTTAAACGCTATATTTACTTTTATACTGGTGTATTGGGGCTTTCTATCAAGTAACCGTTGAGGGGTTTGTCCCTTACTCCTTGTAATCTATACATGATCTATCATAATGGTCATTTATTGCTACAGGTACAATGGCTTTTGCTGTGAACTATATCGGACATTATGTTCTACCGCTCAGTTGGGGAGACCATCCTAAAACAGCCGCGTGTACAGGATCCGGAAAAAGGTCAGTTCAGTCTAAACGAGGAGTAGAAGATATTAGTGTGATAGCTAAATGTGACAGTAATCGTAACCTAGAGATTCGCGTTGATACCGGAAGTACCAATAATATAGCAGGTGTTGATAAAGTAAGTTTAATATTGATACTCTGTTGATAAGGTAAGTCTGGTGTTGACACCGGAAGTAATAGTGTTGATAAGATTCTTGTTGATACCGGAAGTAGGGCCAACCATTCTTGTTTAAGTAAGATCTGTGTTGATTCCATAAGTACCACTCCTGTGAAGGTAATGAAGGTAAGATCTCCGTTTTGAAACCAGAAGTGTTAATGCTGATAAGATAAGATTCGTGTTGATACCAAGATTTAGTCTTCTGAAATCCAAGTCGCGTCTTACAGGGAACATAGTGTGTATGTATATTTATACTTATTACTCATTTGACCTATTTCCTCCAGGTTCAGTACGCTGTGGAAACTACAACCAAGTGGAAACAAACACCCGCCATGCACACATGCACGTCCAGTACGTGCACCAGACAAGGGATTGATGTAATCATCAAGAAGAAAGTGACCGCAGATACAGTCCGGTAAGAATCGCATATATTGGTGGATTAGCTAATTGTACAACATGCATAGCGTCCACTTGGTGTTCGTGGCTTCGTCAACCAAGTTGCAGACAAATGTTTTTACTGTTCTTCGATATTGAAGTACTTGTAATTACTTAACAGTATCATCAATCAATTTCTCCTCTTTCTTGTAGGGTAGCTCTAAACATCATCGGGTATACAACCCTGCCCATGGGCAACTGGTTTGAGAAGGCTTACGTTGTTCATTGTGGTGGTAGCGCTGTAAACAGTGGTAACAAAGGAGGTAACACTAACCACATTACCACAGCTCCAGAGACAGGTCATACGGCTAAACCAAAGATAGTCAACACCCTGGCCGCCAACAAAAAATTCCTTCTGGAGCTCAACGAACCTGGCGATGAGCTGCCCCACCAGACACGAAAGTTTGTTTTGTACTTTACTGAAGCTGTCCAAGGCTCAGTTGACGAAGCTAATGGACAAATAACGTTCTCTGTGCCCCATTCTGGTAATGCTTACTCTGGTTTGGTACAGCTTGGCTATCTGGGAGCTGGTCCAAGGGGTGATAAAAGGAACGATAATTATTTGGACCCACATGCCGAAGTTTATTCATACAAACCTCACGTATCTTATTGTGTCAGTGATGCCCGGAACAAGGGTTACATGAGTTTCGAATGGATGGCTAAAGATAAATCTGGTAGAGAAGCCGCGAACGGAAAACTGATGATGGTAGCAATGCCGCACCAGGTAAACTCTAATTTTCTGTGATTCAATCAAATTCATAAATGCAAGCGACGTGTGACCAAATGCTTCTGTCGAGAATCAAAACAGGCATCCTAGACATACAATGCATACATTCTCGAGTTAGAACACCCCCAAGCTTACCACATGATTTCTACCACAATAAAATTAAAGTTCGCAAATTAAATCCCATATTCAGAATTACAGTTCCTAAATTGACAGGAGTTCAAGTGATTTTATGCCTTGTCAAAATGCCCTTTCTTTTAAGAATTGTTATGGAAGAAAACAGATGTACATGAAGTTACGCCTCTTTCTTTTAGGAACTGTTACTGAAGAACACCAACCCACATGGCTTAAAGAATTCCGTGTATGGTTTCAAGACAGTATCAGCAAATGATTGGCTGTTGGAACATGATCTTCAGCCAGCTTCTATGGAACCACAAAGTGCTGCTGTTGATAGAATCAAACACGATTCCACAAATCATAAGGTAAGACTATCTCCTTTTAGAATTAGCTATAATAATGTGTTGGATTTGAACGCAGGCCCCTACCTTCGCTTGTCGCTGTGAACATAAAGTTATTAATATTTAACGTCGATCTCCTGAACAGAGTTGTCTTTCCTTGAATTGGGGAATGATGGGGGAACTATTCAAAAGTGTTGCACAGAAACTAGGCTGTTGGGCTAAGTGTTTTGCAGGTTGAGTTTGTTGAACATTTTGTTTCTATTTTCTCGTTTCAATTCCATTCTTTACAGCTTATACTTGATGCTATTGAGCGAGATGCTGCTAATGTAAATCTAATGTCAACATGTGCCCATTCTGATAGTTATAATGTTGGTAAAGCTCTCGGTCTAGTTTCGCGACTCGCCAGTATCTCGAGAGCATTTGGTACCAATCATTATCAAAAACTAGATGACTCCATTAAAACCTGTCTAGACAAGTGGTTGAGAATTGACGGTAAGTTGATAATTTAACATAGGAATAATAATCAGTTAAATATTATTGTAGCTGAGGTGTCACGCGAGAGGCAGTGCATGCTTACTCTTTTTATAAACCCTGATACTGTGTTGCCATGACTACTGTGTGCCAGGAGGGGTTGAATGGCGCTGCATCATAAGGTCTGTCATTGAGACAACTGGCTTGATTTCGATTCCCTGGTTGTACATGACAAGGAGTAGGGTCGCCTGTCCAACCTTATGGGTTTTCTTCGTGTACTCTGGTTTCCTCCCACTGCTAAATTTCTCTAAGTGCAAGCGAATTATTGAAATAAAATTGAACCATACATGTATATTAGTCCCGATATGACCTAGTTTGTTTCAAGTGGACGTTAAACCCCATTTCTCTCTCTCTCTCTCGCTCTCTCTCTCTCTTACACACACTCTGTGCCAGTTATTTTGGTACGTTTACCCGGCTACGTTAACGTACGTTCGTAATATTTGTGACATTGTATCTATGGACTTGAATGCCCATCATGATAGATGGCACTATGTTTATTTATTGTAAATGAAGTTTGACGTCCTAATTTTCTGCGTTTCGAATCCCATCTGCCAAAAGCTCTTTTACTTGCACGCTCTCGTGTACATCTCGGTTTTTCGTCCCATCCTTGCCAGACTCACTGTTCTGCACAACTCACAATGAGAAACCACGACAGAAAATCCCGATGAACTTTCTCGATCAACAACGGGATGAAACCTTGGACGTTTGGGTTAGCGAACCGGTACCTTACTGACTGCGCCATCACAAATTGCTTTATTTATTGTAGATACGTTGGACAATAAATGGAAGTTTCACTATGATAATGTTTGGGGTGGAATGTTTTTACGAGGAACAGATGGTGGTCTAGAATTTGGCACTGATTACGGCTTCCCCTACTACAACGATCATCATTTTCATCTTGGGTATTTTCTCTACGCTATAGCATATTATGTGAAACATCACCAGAACTGGGGAAGGAGTAAGTACAGCTTCTATTAAAACACTATCTAGACAACCAGCAGAACTCTCCGCTAGCAGAAAAAAAACACATCTTTTAAAAACCCTAACTATCAAACTATAAACTACCATGGCCAACGAAACAACCAACAACTTAAACCTCAACTTGATCTGTAAATAATCAAATCAGGGATTATTTTTAACGTTTGCTCAAAAAAGTTATCCTTAGAAAATCATGTTCATCTAGCGTTAGATTTAAGTTAAAATAAACGAATAGATTTCCATCCTTGTCAAAATGTTTGTTAATTTAACGTAAAATTCACGATATATTAACGTTAATTTCCGACGTAAAAGTAACAAGCATAACAAACATTTGGGATATATGTTATCTGGGATATACCGCCACTCACGCACTTGCTAGATAACTAAAGACAATTTTTAAAAATGTTTTAGAAAAAGGTTTAAATTTTTTCTGATTCAAACAGATTTTAAACTATTCACTAATCTTCCAGCTAAAAAGGTTTAAATTTGTTCTGATTCAAACAGAATTTAAACTATTCACTATTCTTCCAGCTAATAAGGCCAGAATATATGCGATAGCACGTGATGTGGGAAATCCGTCTTATAAAGATACCCGATTCCCAGTGGTACGACATAAAGATATCTACACCGGTTTCTCGTGGGCTACCGGAGTAGTTCCTGGTGAAAGACAGGAGGAATCAGCCTCAGAGGTAAATACAATATAAAAATACAGAGTTAAATACAATATAAAAATACAGAGTTAAATACAATATAAACATACAGAGTTAAATACAATATAAACATACAGAGTTAAATACGATATAAACATACAGAGTTAAAGAGGTAAATACAATATAAACATACAGAGTTAAATACAATGTAAAAATACAGAGTTAAATACAATATAAAATACAGGACAATGATCATTTCTTACTTATGGGTTTCTTTTAAATAGGTGTGAATCATTTAGATGTAATTTTTCTCCTTTCAGAGTATAAACTGCTATCACGGATTAGCAGCACTGGGAGACGCCTTCGGTGATCAACAATTACGACATGTCGGACAAATTATGTTAGCATCAGAAATCCTGTCTGTAAGAGAATATTGGCAAGTGCGTCAACACAACCGTCACAATTTCCCACCCATGCTACAACAGATCGGAGTGGTCGGTCAGATCGCAGAGAATGCATTCTATGTATACACCTTAGACTGGGCATGTGATCCAAACAGATTTCCAATGCGACATGGGTGTCTTGTTGGTATACAAGTTATTCCATTAACTGCAGCTTCAAAATACTGGGTGGATAAGGTAAAGTGCATTTTCTCGGATACCAAGTGAAATAAACTGGGATTTGAACGCCCCACTGTTCTGCATCGACTGGGCTAATGAATACGGGCATATGCCATACAGTGCGCAATGAGGGACTTTTTGCCCTGACAGCGGCACTACGGTCTACTGTTAATGCTTCTTTTATGTTCACGTCAATGTGTAAACGGAACCTCCATTTTTCGTCCCTCCGAACGACTTTCCATAATTAGGGGGATCCAGTTCTATTTCGAATATTAATAATTTTATTATAGTCAAATTAATTTAATTTTGAAAGTTTTCATTAGGTTTTATTTTAAAGAATTTGTTAGGACGCATTGTCATATATTGATTATAACACGGCACGTAGTCGTATATGCCGTAATGTAAAAAACATTGGCATTTTCAGGAATGGGCCAGTAGTATTAAACAAAGTTGTGAATGGGCGATTGATCCAGCTCAGTCACCCCAATATCATCTCACAAACCCTGGTGACATGAGACAACTAGCAGTGGTAAGTACAATTAATTTTAGAGATCTAAAGTTTTGTGATTCAAATTCCTTTTATAAATTTATCAATTGTTCTGAGACTTCGTTTTCTATTTCTTGTAACCCTTTTTGCAGGGATGGAAGGCTTTCTGTCATGCTGCTTTGGCACCTCTTGATACATCACATCGAACCAAGGCAGTGGAATATTTGAAAACAAAACGACCCCAAGATCTTGTTGGTGGAACTGGTTCAGCAAGCACATTGCTTTTTATTTTAGGGTCTACCTAAGATTGTCTACTGATTATGTTGAGGTCTAATAAACATTTAAAACAATTTAATGGAGTTGTTTCCCTTGCATCGTCTAAAGCATTATATTTGAAAAAGTGTTTTCTGGGAACTCCTCCAGACGATAGAAATGGGGTTTTACAGCCACTTGACACAAACCAGGTCACTTCGGGACTAACATGGTTCAGTTTTATTTCAACAATTTGCTTGCGCCTAGGGGGTATTTAGCAGTGGGAGGAAACCAGAGGACCCGGAGAAAAGCCATGAGGTTGGACAGGCAAACCTACTCCTTGTCACGTACAACCGCTGAATCGAAACCACGCCAGTTGACTCAATGACAGACCTTATGATACAACATGCAGGTGCTAACCATTCGGCCATCCAACCCCCATTGTTTGATGATATTCTATTATAGAAATTTAATGAAGATATGGCGGGGACTATTTGCACGATAATTCTCTTTGTCACCGACTTTTCAGAATGAATCAATCATTAACTAAACCGAGTTTTTCACAAATGTTATTACGCTAGGTCTTAAGTATTATAGTTTTCAAACTGTGAACCGGAAGCGATTTCATTTTACAAGAATATAATTTTATTTCTGTGCTCTCTGATGTTTGTGCGGAAAATGGAAACACATTGCCCGAAAAATGGATTGAGATTCAGTGAGATTTCTCTGCTGTATTGCTCTTGACTGTATTTAGACAATCTGTTCCAAGAGCCAGACAGTAAAGGATGGTAGAGACACACCCATCATCTGAGTTTCAAATTACAGCATCCTTCTTATCCTTGTAAATAGAATCATATATAATTGATTTTTCCCCATAAAAAAAAAAAACTCCATAAAAATAATTTTATTTAATTATTTATTCTATTTTTCATTCTTGTCAAATGTAAAATATAAAATAATAATAAAAATGTCTGTTGTCATTTCTACTCTAAAAATACAAACAATAAATCTCTCCTGTATTTTTTCGTTTCATTTCTTAAAAAAGTAAACTCAATAATCTGTATGGAATGGAATTCAGCAAATTGTCTATAATTTTATATATTTTTAAGAAAAACGTCTATATTAACATGATACAAAACTAAATCTTAACCTAAAATATTTTATTCAATAGCGAAGATAATTATATTTCCTTAATGTGCACCATCAAAGATCTCATGGAAAATTATAATCCCTTTGAAAAAGTTTTAGAATTTATAAAATTGTTATTAACCCATTAATCCTAAAACATTGCTCTTTAAGTTTCAATCAGTAATGTAAAGAGGAAGATGCAGCCATTAAAGGGTTAATAGTTTTTTTTTTATCAGTTCTAAGAATCTTTAAGATAGATAAGAATTTCTGGGGAGTAACTTTGATAAATTCAGAGATAATTTCTTCAAAGTTATGAAATTCAAATTCTTATCACCAAATCGACAGATGAAGTTTATGATAAGTATAACATGTCACTGGGAGGAAACGCTGCTAAAGATAAATAAGTCCTTTATAACAAAATCTAAAATCAGTGTTTTCGCAGAAAACAAACTATCATTTATAATTATCTAACACACACACATTTAACATATAAATTAAAATAAGCACTTTTCAGAATTGAAATAAAATGTAGATTTTTTAAATACAAGACATAAAATAAAGATGTTTATATAAGAAAGTTTATATAAGATCGAAGGTAGGAATATATATAATACATTGTATTATGTACACAGGTTATGAGGTCAGTAAAATATATTTTAATGATGCAGACAATTCTTTTCAGATTTTGCCCAAAGAAAAGGCAGAATTCTTCAAATATTTAAGTTTAAATTCTGTGACTAAAGCCCTGGGTTTACCAGTACCGTTATATGTACTTGCCAAGTTCTATCAAAGTTCAATAATAAAAATAGTTCTATCCATGTTTCAAACCAGCCTCATTAAGACCTTACAAACAATTCAGATTTTCTTCTTTAAAAAATTTAAACTGTCACTGTTTGGAACAAGATTTTTGAACAAATTCATACTTTTTTCAAACAACTTTCTCGAGGCCTACCTATATTTTAAATCCAAAAAAAATATAGTTTAAATGTTTATTGTCAAAATATTGTTTAAATTTTTAATTGAAACTAAAGAGTGATAAAGGGGGCTTGCACATAATGCTCAAGTTTTGGTTTAAATTAAATAAATACATTAAAAACAATTATATCCCTGGAGTCTAATCAAATTCTTGTATCACCATGGTTACAAAGGAACTATATATACATACATGTAGATATTAATTGCTGTCTATATTATCTATATACAATGCTAAAGTAAAACTAGTGCCTAGCAGCAATTCAATATACATATGTTATTAACTTATTAATCATATCTACAAAAATATACAAACTCTTCATAATTTACAAAGACCTGAATTTAATCATAATGCCCCTTTAATATCTCTGACAAAATTACTATTGATATGACCTATAATCAGTAACCTAATTTAACTCTAATAAAGTGATAACCTTTTCATGGGGTGTGCACAACCCAGAACACTTAAAATTCCAGGAGTTTTCCTGGAATTATTTACCAAATTCCAGGAGTCCTTGTATAGAATTCTACCAAAGACGAGTCCATTTATGGAAAGGAACTCGTGAACTTTTGAAGAAACATTGGATGGCTACGTTCAGTTTTATATCTTAAAATATATAGCGAAAGCACAAATGTTAATTTTCCAGGAGTTTTAAGGAGTAGTCTTGTTTTTCCAGTATTGGAAATCATATTTTCATTTTTCCAGAATTTTCAAGGAGTTTCAAGGAGTTGCACACAGGTTTATCATTAAGTGTTCTTCCAACTGTTCTTACAACAACAAATCTGAAACCTCTTAAAAAAAACTCTGCTTTTATTATTACAAGGTTTAATAGATGGATTAATTCACAATGAGCTCTTACTTTATTTAAAACAATAAATATCATACCAATTTTACTTCAGTCGAGATATTATAATTCAAGTTTGATTCTCTTCTGCAAATATTAAAGCTTGATCATTTCTATTTCTACGTCAATCAGTTTCGACTAGTAGGAAGATAAAAGCTATTTAAGTGACTATGTTTTGTCAAGGGAAACAACTCAATTCTTCTCACAATCCTAACTTGTCATGCCATGGCATAAAGCAATTTATTAAAGCTTGTTGAATCAATTTCTGAACAAGAGAAATTTAAATTCAATACATAATTTTTCTTCTTTTTAACCAAATTTGACAAAATTCAGTGTCCTGATATAATTCTAAACATCAGAAGATAATGTCACACAGTCTGAAACTGATACAAGTTGAAGCAAGCGATCCACACACACAATTTGAACTATCACACAGTAATATTCATCTGGATAATATCATATTGTGATTTGGACCAGCTACAATATTAAAGCAGCCAAACTGGCACCCAATTTATATAAATAGATATCACACAAAACAACCACACACACTGCACTATTCAATTATATTATTATGCAATTAATCAGATCAGATTTGCATAAGTTCATTAAAATTACATTTTTTCACATTAAAACCATTTTTTTCTATATACAAATTGCGAAACTATGGCAACTGAAAGACAATTGGATATATGTATATGTAGATAAACGGGTCTGATATTTTTATAAAATACCACTACGTCTAAACGATGTTAAAGCTCCTAACACACCCGTTCCACCTTGTTGAAGCAATTTGCCTGAGACTCCTGACTCTCCTGTTTTTGTTTCCGATTTTGTTAGGACCTTAACATTGGGTTCTGTTGGTGTGACCTCAGATGACGATTTGGGTGATGTCGGAGAACTGGATTCAATTTTAGCTCCACTCATGTATTCGTATAAAGTGGCTCCAGTGCTTTTCAGTTTATTAAAAATATTTCCGCCTGACGCCTCAGAATCTGGCGATGCGAAGGTCGTGACCTTTTCCGGAGACGATTTTGACACAGTTTCAGTGTTTGACTTAGCTAAAGGAAGTTTAAACATTTTCGTACTTGGACTGCTCCTAAAACTGACACCACTGTCTAACCCTGCTGTTTCACGACTATTCAATATGGCTGCTAATCCTAAGCTCATGCTATAGTTTGTGGAACCGGATGATGTTGTTTTGGCACCACTTCCTTTGGCTGGCGTCGATGACTGCATGGGAGTCATTACAACTGAAGTGTTGATACTGAAAAGAGAAAAAAACTGGGATTTAATCAACAATAATGTAAAATTAATGTAAATGAAATGGGGTTTAACGTCCTACTATTCTGCTCCAACTTGGCTGATGAAGAGGGGCATACGCCATACAGTGTGCTATTAGGGAAATTTTGCTTGGACAGCGGCGTGTCGGCCTACTCTTATATCGAATTCTAACTGCCAATTCTAAGTGCACGTCAATGTATACACAGGTCCTCGTTTTTTGGTACCATCTGAACGACTAGACAACTGTCCTTGTCAGGCCCTCTGTTCTAAAATAAATGCAATGTTAAGAAATGACTCATGAAATTAATATCAATATTGCATTTAACAGAAAAAAAAATGAAAATAAATTGAAATAAAATCAAAATCATCATGTGGCAAATATAGACAACAAATTGTGAAATACAAAGTTATTATCCGGGGATTTCAAAACCACAGTCAATTAATTTATTTGGAAAGCTCACATTGCAAAAACTGGACAAGACTTAAAAACCCTAAAACAAATGAGAACTGTACAATAGAGAGAGAAATGGGTATTAAAGTCCACTCAACACAAACTAGGTCATTTTGGGACTAACATATGCTTACATAGTAATTCAATAATTCACTTGTGCATAGGGGTCTTTAGTAGTGGGAGGAAACCGGAGGACCCAAAGAAAACCCATGAGTCATGTACCAGCTAGGAAATGAAATCACACCACCTGACTTAATGACAGACCATATGTTCTAAAGCGCTTTAGACCATATCCTTCCTTAAAGCAAATGAAGCACTCTTTTCAAAATGCAATTAACATCATCAGAACCTTCCCGAGATATACCTCACATATTGTAAAAGTATTTTTTGGTAAAAAAAAAACCAACCCAAAAAACAACAAATAATAAGACTCATCAATATTCTACACCTTTATGTACCCCTCCAAGTCAAATTTGTTACCATGGCAACATATAGATTATCCAATCAGAGAAATTTCTAATGAAGCAAAAGGCACAACTACTATAATAGGTTGATGTTTGTATAAAGGTTCATTATTATATCTTGAATGGTTTATAAGGACCAACGGATGGAACCCATTCTAATGTAACATTATGGGGGAGATTATATTAGAAATACTATATCATAATAATCCTACCACAATTTCTATTTCTTAGAACAATGTGATTTCAAATTTACAAAGTTCCGAACAACTATCTTTCTTTTTTACAGTATCTTCTATTTGACTAAAGAAACTTCAAAAAAAAAAAAAAAATTGTTCAGTGAGTGCATGTGAAAATTGTGCAATCCTAGTAGACAAATGGCTATATTACTTTTGAATCACAGTGAAAAAGTGAAATTCATATTAATTAGAGTTATCTCTCATTTTTTTTTTTTTTAAAGCTGCTAATCGTCATTTGTATTTTTCAAACAATCCAAACTCAAATATACTCAAATTGATTATTTATCATATTAAACATACACTATACAAGAGCTAAATCTCCCAGGTCTGAAATTTTATATAAACTATTAATTAGACATTTATTAACACAAGACCATAATCCACTCTCCATGGCATCAGATACTCGAGATTTTAACTAGATTAAAATAATGTAGTTTGTAAATTGTATTTTCGTTTCGTTTTATTTTTGTATTTCGTTTCGTTTTATTTTGTTCCGAATCTTGTATGTAACTCTGTGTGTGTAACTTTTTTGTGTGTTCTTTACTGTTTAGATATATACATGTACATCGACATTGCCCGTCAATAAATACATCGAAATAAACAAGACATTAATTTTCTTGTCAACATGTTTAGTGCTTATCAACATGTTTAACCAGTGCCCTGGTTACCACTGTGCACACATCTTGTCAAAACTACAAACAATGATAACTTGGCTGAGAATGAAGTAATTTGAATGCAATTTTCAATATTTTTTTTTTTTTATCATCTATTTTTGAATTATTATAGCAAGAATGACCAACTCTTTATTAAACTCTTAACTAATGTATCTTTAATTAAGAAAACAGAATCAAACTATCAAAGGTAGATATTGTCTCGGTTCAATGATTTTAGTTATAGGTGGTGGGGATAGTTTATATTGTCTCCACAAGATGCCAATTGTTGAGAATACAATATTTCACAAATCACGATCAACGGCTTCAAAGATACATTATGTAAGATTTGGACAAGAGCTGGTTGTTCTTGCTATAATATTTCACAAAATTTATAGATAATGTAAAATGAATATATTGAAAATTTCATTCAAATTACTTTATTTTGAGCGAAGTTATCAATGTGTGCATCGATTGTAACCCCCATACTGGTCATTCGAGTCTTTTAGCCTGGCTTCTCCACCTTTATAGTAAATCATTAAATGGCCAAACTGTTCTAATCTACTTAATATCAGAGGCATCTAATGGCATTGAGAGTTGATCATGGTTTTGTCGTGTTAATAAATGTCTAATTGATAATTTATATTACATTTAAGGCCTAAAGAAATACCTGTAATAGGCAGATTTATAACATTTAAGGCCTAAAGAAATACCTGTAATAGGCAGATTTAGCTCTTACATATTGCATCTTTAATCATATTGAGGTAAATGTTCAATAAAGTTACTTTGATGGGTATTTCCCCTCGTTTTTCGACAGTAATTTACTGTTACTTTTAATATTTATCTTCTTGCATAATATCAACTAATCATTTATGTATATGTATCAATAGAATTGTCAACTAAAATAATTGGAATGTATCTTATTTTTACAAACAAGATAGCCTATGACACATCATAATTTCAAAATAAAAGTTAGACGTGTAATGTTACATATTTTCTTCAGCCTATTTAATTAAAGATTTTAAAATAATATTTACTCTTAGAAATATCACTAAAATTTTCCTTAATTTATCTATAAATAGTGATAATGATTGTGCAGCAGGCGTGTAGGGAATATACGGTATGTTAACTCTTTCTGGATGCCAGAACCAACTTTCACTTTACTAAATTACCAGTATCAAATTATAACTTTGAAGATGACAAAAAGAGAAGAAATGTATTTCTTTCTGAGATTATGAAAGTTGTATAGAAATATACTCCTTTTAAAATATCTATAGTAAAGAAATTCCATTAAGAATAAGATTAGGAGAGATATATACTAAAGACATTCCTGTTAATATTTTACCACAGTCAAAAGATACAGCTACACTCTCTAAAAATGTCTTTTACTCAAAATCGTTATATGTTGGAAAGGATTTAGGAATATTTATCAAGATAGGCTTCCAAGTGATGAAATATACGCCAACTAGCAGTTATGTCATTCAAGCCATTTTATAAAGGATGGCGTCTTTGTTTTGAAATTTTGAAAAAAAACCTTTAAATATAACTTTACATACTAAAGTGTTTACAGGTTTTCTAAATATCACTCTAAGAAAATAAATGACCATCAACAAGAACTCCACGCATATATAACCATATTGATAATCAAAAGGGGTGTATAAAACCATTTTTAGCTTTAATATTGCTTGGGGGGAAATTCAATACTTAAATTGGATTTTTCACAATTTATTGACGGTAGGTATAAGTACATATTCCTCTAGCAATGATTACAAGCAACATATTAACCACTACATCAGTTTGTGTGTCGACTAATCAAAATGGTAAGTTTAAAAAAACTTGCAGAATGTTGGATTATACTTGATGCACCTGTATATACCAAACATATTTTTCCATGGTAATACAAAGATTATTAAATCCAGCAAAAAGCATGTCTAGTATAATAGGTTGATGCATGTATGGTTTATGAAATAAAATCGAGACACATGGATGGAAAGACAGACAGAGATCATATCAATATGCCTCCCATAACTTTCTTGGACATGCAGAGTTTTGTAACTTAGTTGGACACAAGGGTAAAAATGCTTCATAATAAGTATCTGATTTAGCAATGTTTAATGAGCAGTTTGTAACCATGACTTTAGGAATATGGTGTAAGTGCAGATAGGTTATAAAGGAAATAATAGATGTTTTATTGGTTAACAGAATACAATATGATATAATTGTTGGTTAGTATAATAAATAAAGGAATCATATGCATGGCAAAATAAAGTGATTTTGTTTTTTATCTTTCTGACTTTTAGTCTGCCACAAAAAATTAAGTGTTGTAAAACTGATCAATTCTTAAGATTAACACTAGCAATATATTTTTTTTGGTTAAAATTTGAGGTAAAAAAATCACTTTAGTTTATTACTATTAGTGGATTCAAAACTTCTAAGATTTAACACTGTTCTTGTGTCTTCATGGTTAGCGCGTGTAGGGTCGCCTGTCCAACCTCGTGGGCTTTCTCTGGGTCCTCCGGTTTCCTCCCACTGCTAAAGACCCCCTACGTGCAAGCGAATTATTGAAATAAAATTGAACAATATGTTAGTCCTGAAATGAACTACTTTGTGTCGATTGGACGTTAAACCCCATTTCTCTCTCTCGTTTCAATACTAACACATAAGATGAGAGATCTGATGAAGCAATAAGAACTAATAGAAGTTTTGTATCCACAAGTATTAAAAGAAACCTAAATGTCTTTGAAAGATTTATATTATAAAGTTTGAAGATATCCCAATCACCACGGCTTTTAATGAAAATTGACCGAAGTCTAGAATACAATTACCCTGTGGAAATATGGCGTGCAAAATCAACCAATGACGTGTCAGCTTGCATATTGCTAAAATAAACATAATATTATCTTATAGGAAAACATCTGATTTATATCGGTGGGCAGATTGTAAACAGGATATTGGCCAAAGTCTCAACCTGAATAAAGCTATTATTGTAGTATTCAATGCAATCTTTGTAAACATTTTAAAAAGAATTGAACCATTGCTGGACTAATATTCAACTTTTACAATATTATAATTTGCCCCGGACTTGAACTCCCCGATGATTGGGTTTAAACAGGTGTTTATAAAAGAGAATATGTTAATTTACCTGGCAACATCTAATTGATAGGGATGTTTAACTGTAGAATTGGTATAGGTATAAACAGAGGAACTACTATCATCTAATCGTCTATTGGTTGGACAATCACTAAAATCATCTGAAAACACATGCATTAAATACATTGTCTTAAATTCATGCTTTCTAAAGTAAACATTTTTTTTTTCTTATATTAAAATCTATATATTAGTGACTGTCATAATTTGTCTATCTGCAACTTGGGGAATAAAAGGAAGTTTAATCTGGTGAGTTATAATACCTCCAGTTCCGGCTCCACCCTTGTAGTGCCAGGTCAGCTTCTAGTCTAATATAAAATACATTCGCAAAACTTTTCAGTCATGAAAAACCCTTGAATATTTTTTTGATACAGAAATACATGCTTTTAATATTCAGATATATATGTTCGTATATTCAGATGAAAAAAAAAAAAAAACCAGATTTAAAAATGAACTAGAACTGATCATGACGTCATCGCAGCCAATTTGAAATTATGACATCTTATCAAAAATCAAAGTCTGTCAATCAATGTGCAGTTGTCCAAAGAACAAGCATGCCAAGTTTCATGCTGATCTGGGTAGTATTAGGGTATGATCAACACTTACCATCCTCCTCGAAATCACTGAGTGTATACGGTTCTTCATCTATATCTAATTTACGTTCACCTTTAATCTGAACTCCAGGTCGGTTCTCAAATATACCACCAATATGGGGTGTGGCTAACTGTTGCCATTTACCAAGTGTCGCAGATCCTGAAATAATTAAATTTACATTAATTAACTTTTTATTTAAAGATACTTTCCCGCGTACAAACTGTGTGATTTGATGATATATTTGAACTAAAAACCTATTTAAACTAATCAATCTATCAAAAATTTGCTTCTAATCCCTCTCGAAACGTTGTATTTGCAAGGAAATACCCCAAGCTATAAAAAAAATCGTTAAAAAGAAGTAATGTTTGGGTCACGTGACTTGGCAGTTGCGGTAACTATCAACGGGTGCAGAGTTGGACGAGCATCCATGAGAGGATATTAAATATTATTTTAACAGAATAGAATAATTTTATTAAAGGTTCATTCAAAGTAAATTTAACAATTGATAGTAGTAGTGATGTTTCAGTTATCAGTTTTCAACATCGGTAATTGGCCGATTAGTGACCTATTGGTAGAAATCGGTAATGGCGGATAGTCAGCCATTTTGCCGATAGTGGAGTCACAGATATCTTTTCAAAGACTTGGTAAATATTGTGAAAGTATCATTTGAGTTCTGAACAAATCATTCTTATATTTCTATATCTATCTGTATGGGCTGATATGTTTTACTGTCAGCATCTGATATCAGTAAAACCTCTAGTACCCATACAGGCACATCATTAGAAAGTAGTATTGTTCAAGTTTATGGTGGTAATCTCTATAAGGGATATCATACCTTCTAAAGGTTTAACTATTTGTAATTTCTCCGGGATTTTGAAGTATGGTGTATTTTGACTTCCTGGAAACGAAAGGTAGGAGAAACTACTTCCTGCTGACATGTTGCCGGGTGTTGAGTTCCCTGACTTCTGCTGCATTTCTTTCTTCTTCTGCTCTTCATAATAATCTTTCTCATTCAGTTCATTGGCTGTTCTCATCGCCAGGTGTTTCAAGGCTGTCTCAAGATCGTTAGAACCAGGTATACCAGGTCGGCCAAGGTCAGATCCAGAACTTAAATTATAAACAAAAGGAATTTTTTTAGGTCCAAACCCAAATAAATCTATACTAATATTTGTGACTTGTTTGTCTGTTCAGGGTTGGCAGTTACACTAGCGCTGTCCGGAGGTTGAAATGTTGAGGACATATTGGCAGTTTTTTCTTGTGGAAACCTCTAACGATCTGTCAATCTATTTCCTGCAATCTGGTGAATTCTTAGTTTAAACTAAATCTTGAATTTGGCTTTTCTGTTTTTGGAATCAAAGGTACCTAGAATACACCCTGTTTAATGGATATTCTTAGGTCAGGGACATTAACAACATGCCATCAACAGAAAACTTTATTCACAAAAGTCATAATGGATTAGGTCAATTTTAGGAGGAAGATTATTTATTTCCTGCTAATAAAATAAAATAACAACTAACCTATACTGACTGTCCATATCACCTCCATAACCATCACTTGTTGCTCCTGATTCAACATCTGATAAACACATGGAACTAGGTCCTGAAACACCTCTACCATCTGTACCATCTCTTGTTAATGCTGCACTTGACATCTTCAACAACTGTTGGTTCTTTTTACAGGCTTTCTTAGCTGCCTTTGCTGTTTCAAATATCTTCCAGTTGTGGGCTCTGAAATAAGATATTTGTGGTGATGTAAATGTTCTGTTGAAGCCCTAATATAAAATACTATTTTAAACCGTAAATTTGAGCCATGAATTCATTTATTGATTTCTTTAAACCATCGAAACATAGATTTCTTTAAACCATCGAAACATACTTTTTGCAACAATTCTAATTATCAGATTTGATTTACCCTTGAATCACAATATTATATTATACTAAATAAAAAAAAAACATTTTACTAAAATCACATTCCTACCTTCTTTCTTCTGGAGATAAAGTACCGAGTTCACCTTCACCCTTCATCGAAAATTCTAGCTCGGAGGCCAGCGAATCAGAAGGTACATTGAATAAGGTACTAGATATGTAGGGAGCAGCTCCTGATGGTCGTTGTTTACGGCGGAGGACCTTGAGCTCATCATTCGCTTCTTCTAACAATTCAAACAGTTCATCGTATCTATCTTGCATCATGCCCAGCTAAAATTATAAATAAAGAATAGCTTAAAGAAATTAGGTTTCCCCAAAACACATTTGTAATTGAAATTATATGCTACTTTTCTATAGCAAACTGGCTAATGGAGAGAAAGAGAGAGAGAGAGAGAGAGAGAGAGAGAGATGGTTTAAATCCACTGACACAAACTAGGTTGCAGGAATATATTAGTAAATTTTATTTCAATAATTCACTTGCACGTAGGGGTCTTTAGCAGTGGGGGGGGAAGCCGGAGGACCTTGACAGGTAACCCTATTACTTGTCACATACAAGCGGGGAATCAAAACCAAGCAATTTGACTCAATGACAGACCATATGATCCAACAGTCATGCGTTAACCATTCGGCCCCACAACCCCCAATGAAGATGGCCATATGCTATGTAGAACTTCCCCATAATATTCATTGATTTCTAACTGAGATCTGAGGGTTACTACTTAAAGGGGAAGACCAACGATTTTCAACAAGGTTTCCATAAATCTTAAATATATATTGATAAATAATCCCCTCTGTAGCACAAGAAAAAAGTTTTTGTAAGAAATTAATTTTTATTCAAACCGGAAGTGACATAGTTGGTTCAACACGCTCACTGGGCTCTATAGTAAGCATACAGATTTGGCATAAGTTTACTGCTGTATTGTGTTCACGCGTCGTCCTTTGGCCAAAAATCGGATCAAATGGACTGTTTATTAGGATATTATAAACACGAATTTATGTTTTTTTAACGTTTAGTACACAAATCTGTCGCGTAAATTCACTCAAACTGAACAGTACGCTGTGCCTCAATTCACGCCACATGGCTACTTGTTTACATCACGTGGTTTGATTGACAGCTTGCAAGTGACATGTATTTCGTCTGCTTCGATGTTTTTGTGCGTGCTGACAGCGTTTTTCAACATATACATTATGGGCATGTGAGACATATAATATAGTGCATTTTGGCACATAATGTCGACGTGAACGGCTTAACCTTTTTTCTTCCATTTCCTCTTGAGAATGGCTGGGCTCGAATGTTTATACGGCATTACTGTAGACCTATAGAAGAGTTATTTTATATTCCGATACGTTGGTGTCTGGCGTTGACATATTTTGGAAATTTATATATTTATTTGAATATATATATATGTGCCACAAGTCCGTTGAAATAAATAAAAACACTGTCCGCAGACTCAGCACGCACAAAAACATTCAAGCAGACGAAACATCTCTCACTTGCAAGCTGTCAATTAAACCACGTGATGTAAACAAGTAGCCATGTGGCGTGAATTGAGGCACAGCGTACTGTTCAGTATGAGTGACCTTATGCGACGGCTTTGTGTACTAAACGTTAAAAAACATAAATTCGTGTTTATAATATCTTAATAAACAACCCATTTGATCAGATTTTTGGCCAAAGGACGACGCGTGAACGCAATACAGAAGTAAACTTGTGCCAAATCTGTATGCTTACTATAGAGCCCAGTGAGCCTGTTGAACCAACTATGTCACTTCCGGTTTAATAAAAATTAATTTCTCGCTTACAAAAACTTTTTTGCTTGTGTTACAGAGGGGATTATTTATCAATATATATTTAAGATTTATGGAAACCTTGTTGAAAATCGTTGGTCTTCCCCTTTAACAATCAGTTGGTAAAAAAAATCTTTATCTTTCTTACCTCTTTGGTTAATTTTCTCTGAGATTCTTGGGAAGCCTGGAGATGTTTAGATAATTCCATATTCTCTATCGTTAGCTGGAAAAATAAATTAAAATTCTATTGAACAAAAACTGTTTAAATATCTGATCGGTTTTCCTCTGATGTTAACACTGAAACTTAACTCAAATATTGTGTTCCTGAGTTTTAGCATCATTATGGATGATATTTCATCCATTGACCACTTACTCGATAAAGTCAGTATACTACCAAACCTGTGCAGACTGTCCTACAATGTGTGGATAATATTATGAAACCATAACAATTTGTCCCATTTTTTTTAAAGGGGGAGGGGGGGGGGTCAGAAGACTTGATTATGTAAAGAGATATTTTGAAACCTGACAAGCCTTCTGTCAATCATATAAAACTATACTAATTTGTCCATAATAGACGTAAGAACTGTTGAGTGTTACAGCAATCTTAATTATAAGGTATTATGTTAAAACTCACACTTCTAACTCGTTTTTGAAGATCTACAACTTGTGATAATAAGGTTGTTATTTCTTCCTTCTGCCGAATATTATCATCAGATTTTTTACTTAATTCTTCCGCAAACGTTTCCACTTGTTGATTCACCTCCGCTAAAAAAAAACACAAAGAAAAATATTACCAATGCTACTAAAACCGACAAAAGAGAGAGTGAGAGAGAGAAATAGGGTTTAACGTCTACTCAACACAAACTAGGTCATTTCGGGACTAACACATGGTTTAATTTTATTTCAATAATTCGCTTGCGCATAGGGGTCTTTAACAGTAGGAGGACCCAGAGAAAACCCACGAGGTTGGACAGGCGACCGTACTCCTTGTCACGTACAACTGGGGATTCAAAACCAAAAACCGATAAAGGTTTTAAAGAAATCAAATACATTTCAAGCATATGTCTCTGTTGGGAGAAACATGAAAATGACAGGAAGTAACCCAGGTTATGCAGCCCCCACCCCTACTCTACTACTCATCAAAATGATATGAAATGGGGTTTAACGTCCTACTGGTGTTCTGCATCTACTGGGCTAATGAAGACGGACATACGCCATACAGTGTGCAATGAGGGAAATTTTACCGAGCAGCAGCACTATGGCCTACTCTGACGTGGTACCTAGCAACGGCTGCGACGCCAAAGGAGTATTCATTGCATATACAAGAAGATGTTGTTTTTAATCGCCGTCCATTTATCATAAATATCGAAGCCTATTTAAATTCTCTGATTATCCAATGCCCACGTCTGTTTCTGTGCTTTTTACCACAGAAAATGTTGTACGTTTTAAGTCACTCACTTTTTCCTAGTCAACATATACATCAAAGCACTCCCTAACGCTTAGAGATCAGACGATTTTCGAGTGCAACCTTTGAATAGACATCCCTAATCGTCAGGTCACCAGTTAAGGAAACCCTTACATTTTTGTCCTGTATGCACTTCATGGGTGTTTTTCAGGGAATCTATATTTTTCTAGGCAGTTTGGATGTTTCTACTTTCCATATATACCAAAATTGTCATACTTTTACTGGAAATAACCACCCGATAAATATTTTTGTGGGAAAGTATCTTTAACATTACTTGGGCTTATTCCATCTATTACAAATACCCTTAACCTAAATAATTCTACTTATGCAAATAAGAAAAAAGTTTAAAAATAGGCCAAATTCTTTACCTTATGACTGGGATTAAGTTTTTAATGGTCTTGTTTTTTCATTCTACTAATGTATTTATAGTTCACAGGGAAATGACTTTAAGATAATAATATGTCATTAACAACTAAGATGTCCTGACCTTTTCAAATTAACAATCTACTTCTACATTGGGTTTAACGTCCTACTGTTCTGCTCCGACTGGGATAATGAAGACGGGCATACGCCATACAGTGTGCTATGAAGGAAATTTTGCCCAGGCAGCAGCACTATGGCCTACTCTTTTATCAAATTCCAACTGCCAAGGGATCTTTTACACAGGTCCTTGGTTTTCCGTCCTATCCGAAAGACTAGAAAGCTGTCCTTGTCAGGCCCTCTGTCCTGCACCATTTACAAGTGGAAACAACATTGAACTTTCTCGTACAATGCAGGGATTGAACACGCGACCTCCAGGCTGGCGAGCCAGCATCTTACCCACTTAGCAACCGTGACTCCTTAATCATATGTAATAAAGTTCTTCTTGTCATTACAAACAAACTTACACAGCTGCTGTAGACAATCTTCAACTAGTTTTTTCTCTTTTTCTTCCATATCACAAGTGTCTGATTTAAGTTGTGCCGTCTGCAACAATATACAAAATAAAAGATTTAAACACAGAAACTCGTTAACTTTCCATATAAATAGAATAGAAATGGAGTTTTGTGCTCTTTGCCATGAAAGACAATCTTAAAATGAATAACAAACAAGATAATTGGTGTAAAATGTCATTTATTAAATGACGACTGAAGCATAGCTTGAATAATTAAATGTAATTAGAGTGCATTAAAGATGTATGCTTATTAAAAACTATCAAGCAATTAACCGAAGAACCTCATGTTTCTGAGAATCGTGAGAGAGAGAGAGATAGGGTTTAACATCCACTCCACACAAACTAGGTCATTTCAGGACTAACATATGGTTCAAATTTATTTCAATAATTCGCTTGTACGCAGGGGTCTTTAGCAGTGGGAGGAAACCGGAGAACCCGGAGAAAACCCACGAGGTTGGATAGGCGTCCTAACTCCTTGTCAGGTACAACAGGGGAATTGAAACCATGCCAGTTGACTCAATGTCAGACCTGCACTAGAATTATGTAAGAACTGGGGATTAAAAAGTTTACAAGTTCAATAATTTATTACCATACTAAATATTCGGTAATAACCTAATTATATTTTGTTAAATTCATGTAATAGAATATCAATAAATGTGTAAACTTCTCAAATAATGAGTGACATCAGATGCTCTAGAATACTTACCTCAAGTCGTAATGATAGATTTTCATCTTCCAACGATTTAACCTTTTTATGTAGTCCCTCGACTTTAACCACACTAAGGGAGAAACCTCCTTCTCTGAAACACATTTTTATAAATTCTCAATTCTAAAACCAAACCAAGTATAAATCTTTTCAATTAATAATCCTTGCACTTGTTTAAAACTATTTCTCCTATCAAATGTGAAGATCCTTCAATATGTTTGTTTCAAAAGCAAAGTTCCAATTCTTTACATTCCAAAGGCAAAGTTCCAAATTAGCAAAGTTCCAATTTAGCAAAGTTTCAAATATTTCCTTTTCAGCAGAGTTCCAAATTTTTAGGGCTATCAAAAACAAAGTTCCAAATTTTTACTATCATCAATTTCAAAAGTAAAGTTTAATTTCAACTACGAAGCCCAACACAACTATCTAAATCTCACAAAGGATGTTTGAAATAATTTAACTTGTTATTTCAACAGGATAGTACAGATCAAAAGGAAAAGGAAATTGTGCATAAACTTTTCACTCATGTAAATTGTTTTAAATTTAAAAATTTTAAAAATCCGGGCAGGAAGAATGAAAAGATTAAAATAATATAAAAGTTGTTTTCCGTAAATGGGATAGCCTCTGTGGTTTTAATTTGTTTGTTTATTTTATCAATCAAATTTTCTTTATTCAAATAAACAGTCTATGAGAAATATTGGGTTTGCTTATACAAGGATTTCCCTATTTAATTGTTTGTTTATGAAATGACATCTTGTTGTACAGATCATTCGAGGAGCATAAAAGAATTTCTAAGATAAAAAAAGAAATGATTTTTATGTTCATATAGCACTAAATGGGAAGACCCCTACTTTATGAAATATATAAACATGTGACATATAATGAATTTTCCAGTCCCAGTTTGAAGTTAGTGTACATAAACTCCCTCTCTGTCAGATGTAAATCAGCTATATTGTCTGAACGTTTTACTAGACATCATTTAGTTGGTTGTGTGTATATCAAATTTCCAGGCCTACTCACAAATCGGAAAACATACTTAAGCAGAGTTTCAGACAGTTCTTTACAGCTACCAAGGTAAACAGATTGCTGTCAACGCACTTTGTCTATTAACCCTCCTTATTGACTATACTTACTGGGGACTAGCTTGTGGCGCCTCAATTCCATCATTCTCGAAATCCTGACAGTAGACACGTAATAATTCATCTTTCATGGACACATCATGACGAAGTTGACTGACCTAACAATAAATATATGGTCATTATTTACAAGCTAACATTAAATTCAAAAGCTGATGTTCCAAACCTTAGTGTGTGGGGGGGGGGGCCTACCATGTCACAGTCAGAAATATGGCTGCTTGTATTCAAAGGGTTAATAAGACTGGAGAGAGAGAGAGAGAGAGAGAGAGAGAGAGAGAGGTCCACTCGACACAAACCAGTTAACTCAATGACAGACGTCATGATGCAGTGTGCACACGCTAACCATTCGGCAATCTTACCCCAACACATGACTGTACAGATAGATGTCTTTATCTAATAAAACAAGCTCCAGGCTAAATAAAGAAATTAAATAAAATGGGGTTTAACGCCATACAGTTTGCTATGAGGGAAAGGTGGCCCAATTTCAACTGCCAAGGATCTTTTATGTGCACGCCAATGTATACACAGGACCTCCGTTTTTCATCCAATCTGAACGACTAGACAGCTGTCCTTGTCAGTCCCTCGGTCCTGCACCACTGACAAGAGGAAACCACATCGGAAAATCCCGATGCAGTCTAGGTTATATAAGACAAACAGGTCTGCTGTATATTAGTCTTGTCTACGATATCACCCTTGATGGAAGTAAAAGCCAGAGAAGAAGAAAGTAAATTAGTCAGATACCATAGTTAATTTGTAATTTTTTTTAAATTAACAAAATGTAAGCTTATAAAAGTTTTACCTTTTCATTGGCTGATGTTAACTGTTCTTCTAAATTTTCGGTTCTTGATTCAAGGTCTCGATTTTTATCTAATAAAGTTGTTCCGATTCTAGCAGCAAGTTCCAAGTCACGCTCTTTCTATAACAATAAACATACAAATAGAAACGTAGTGCATTTTTTATTTCAATCCTAGTGAAAATTTTCATTTTAAACAATGGAACATCCAGAACCAATAGAAGATCAACATGCACTGTAACCGGGGTATCATTTAATCTTGTGTTTTTAGCATTAATTTCTTTCACATTCATTCAATATCAAATGTTTGTTTAAAAATTCGTAAAAATCGTTTAAAATCAACAATTTAATCGACAATTGATTATTGATGTTTAATGATTAATTTTTGAACAGTCGTCAGGAAATTAAACACTTGTAAATTGGACACTCATTATCAAAATTAATCAGTCTGCTTTAAACTGGACACAAGTACAAATTGGATGATTTTGGGTGATCTTGATTGATTTTTGCGAATTTTTAAACAAAGATTTGATATTAAACGAATGTGAAAGAAATTAGTGCTAGACACACAAGATTAAATGATATCTGGGTTTCAGTGATGACCAAACCGGATTTATCATCTTTTACCTGCAACATTTTAGGGTTAGTTTATGGAATAAAGTCAACAAAACCATTTTTCTCCTTGGACTGTATCTAATATTGATCACAGCATTTGTTTTGTTGACGACAACGTGACACTCAACAAGCCAAGAATTTCATGGCAACAAAAGTTAAAAGTCTAAGTAAACAATGGACTATAGTAATTTTCTATTTCCACTGCAAATGTGTCAAGGAGGTCAACCTATTTGTTGGTATACATTTTCCACACTGACAGAAAATTTAGTAAAATTGAACAAACCTCTTCTAACAAACGTGTTACTGCCTCAATATCATTGTACGTTTTTGTCATCTGGGTTACCCTGTCCGCACATAGAACTAAAAAATACAAAGAAAAAACACATAAATTTAAGATTAAAGAAACTTATTTCCTTCCAAAATACAAGCAGCAGTCATTTAAATCAGAAAAATTCAAGTATAACACTTAAAGTCGTCAATTTCTATGATATTAATAAACAATCTAAGCAACATTTTGTCAAAACTTGAAACATAAATTATATTCCTATCTTCTGTTACTATATATCAAACTAGACTCATATGTAAATAACTTTATTTTATATCTTTTATTTATATAAGTGAAACAAAATGAAATGGGGTTTAACATCCTACTGTTCTGCTCTCCAACTGGGCACATGCCATACAGTGTGCTGTGAGGGTAATTTTGCCCAGGGAGCGGCACTATGGCCTACTCTTATATCAAATTCCATCTGCCAGGGGACCTTTTACGTGCACGCCAATGTATACATGGGACCTCAGTTTTTCGTCACATACGAATGACTAGACAGCTGTCATGCATCACGTGACAAGGGGAAACCACGCCGGAAAATCCTGATGAACTTTCTCGGCCAATGCAGGGATAGAACACGCGACCTCCAGGCTAACGAGCCAGCGTCTTACACACTTAGCCAACGTACAGTTCATTTTAAAACTGACAATCCATAACCTTAGTATTTTAAGACTTTTATTGAAGAATCTAAAATACGTAACTCAGAATTTAAAAATGTTTTTTTTTATTATTGTATTGATCTTTTTATTACATAGGGTCTGAGAAATATCTATTTTTCTATATCAGGAATTTCTCATTTATTTGTCTATCTCTTGACAGGAAATAAACAAATTAGCCAGACGAAAATGGCTTAATTAACATTCATTAGTTACTCGTTACCTAGGTTACCTACATTTAAATTAATTATGATTGTAAAGCGAACAATATTAAAGTTTACTTGAGTAAACATATTACTATTCTTTTCACAATAAATGAGTTATAGAGAACTAAGGAAATTACATTCTCCAGATAATAACTATATTCTTTCAATGACATTTAGTAATTGGAACATAATCAAATAACACACTTTTATGGAATATCAATTACTATGGTTTATTTCACTGAGACACTTGATAACGACTTGTGAAATCTTGTTGAAACGTCGTCGCAGTGAAATAAACCATAGTAACTGTTATTTGATCAGATAATAACTATATAAAAGAATAACAAAACAGTGCAATCATCAAAGACAACAGTAACTGAAAGAGAGAGAGAAATGGGGTTTAACATCCACTCGACACAAACTAGGTCATTTCGGGACTAACATATGGTTTGATTTTAGTTCAATAATTCGCTTGCGCGTAGAGTCTTTAGCAGTGGGAGGAAACCGGAGGACCTGGAGAAAACCCACGAGGCTGGACAGGCGACCCTACTCCTTGTCACGGCCATCCAACCCCCCCAACAGTAACTGAAAGTCTTATACTTAGGCTTTACAGTCCTTTGTATGAAAGTACAACAAAAACTGTTGGTCATTTAAGAACATGCTTCAAAATTAAAATGAAAATATTTTCTATACCGATTTAACAGCATCGATTAACATTAATACAGGTAAGTATTTTGTATAGGATATAGAAAAATATCAATTCCATTCGCTTCAATAGACATTGAATAATGAATACCAACCAGTTTGAATAACCAAGAAATGTCAATATTCAAATGTTTGTGTGAGCACTAGAACATGCATACCCTGCCTTAAACACAATGCCTTTCACTAATAAAGTTTAAATGATAAAATCCACAAATTAATACATTAACAATTTTACCTTCTGGGTCAAAACTACTCCAATTATAACGAACCATTTTGAATACTTTGATAACAAAATCAAGCACAGATTAAGCAATGAATAAATGTTGAATGGGATACACTGATATGACTAACGAGTTGAGATAGAGGCGGATAAATAAAATAATAAAATAAAAGGTTCAAAGCAAGGATATAAGAAGATGAACAGGAATATCGAAATTTAAAAATAAAAGGATATAACAAGAAATAATTTGATGAAGCTTTTGATTTAGAAAAGAATGTAGTAATTAATTAATGTTTACAGATTACCAATCCTCTGGTGTAAAAATATATGTTATTAATTAGAATATACAGGTAATAGGTAAGATATAGATGATAGGTAAAAGGAAAAGATGAAAGCTATGAAGACGGAGCAATGAACAATGTTTCAAGATGTATTCTCCTTATATAGGGATGAACGACAAGGAAACAATTCTCGTATACCACGGACAAAAAACACCTATCTTAAAGTTACACAATTAAAAATATAAGACACTAGCAATGACAATAGATTTTACTACTCCATTTTACTATTAAAAATATATTGAATTTTTAACCAATTTTTAAATCTGTCTTTCTCCTCGCAGAAAAAAGGAGGAGGATAAGACCTTGATTGTATTGTATTTTACTTGAGGAAAAGGGGAGGTAAAATTTATTAACATCCTTTAAAGAATTTTAAAACTTTACAGAAAAAATTTAATTTTTAATGATCGTCATCTAATCATTGTTTACATTTATCGGACTTAAAAATAAATTAAAAAAAAAAAAATATTAAAAGATATGAGTCAATTGATTTGGATCAGGAATAATTGATGGCTAAAAATAAACCTTTGGTGTGGTATTCCTGAATTGACTGACGGCTAAAAATAAAGCTTTAATGTGGTATTCCTGCACTTACTCTTATGGGAGTGATTTAACAGTTTAGTAGGCTAATAGACAAAAAAACTCTCCTCAATCAAACTATAAGTGCTTGATTTACACCTTAAAAACCAAAGACCGCTAGAGCACGCCATACCAACAAGTATTTTGCTGCCCTACTATCAAGCATACATGTAATATAAAATGTGCTCTTTCTGAAAAACAACAAACCTCTGCAACCAGCACCCACCTTACTCCTGGGCAAAAAATCTGTGGTCTTCATTGGAATACAACTTACAACTAATCCAACCAAACTAACTTTAATGCTATTGTTTTACTTTCGTCGAACTAAATTTCCAAGTTTTGTATTTTCTGGCCAATAAAATGAATATTATACCAATACAATGTCTACTTACGATTGAAAAACTGACCAAATGCAGCTGGATTAAGACTGGTGTCGGCATTAAATAAACCTTCAGCTAAACTAGACGAGGATTTTGACAAATGAGCCATATTTGCATCCGAGAGTAAAGAAAATTTATTAACCAAGGGGACATTATCAAATGATACACAACGTTTCAGATTTGTAATTTCCACTTTTTTAGTTCTGTTCAGATCTATTTCATGGATATTTTCATCTTCGGAATAACAAATCTTATAAAGTGATATCAATTTATCACAAGAGGATTCACATTCACTTCTAATTTGTTCCATGTTTTTTCTGAAGGATTGTCAATCCATTGGCATTATCTCCAACTCCAATTAAGATCCATGTTTCATATAAATTCAGAATTTCATAATACATTTCATTTCAAAAACGTCCGGTTCAGTGAAAACTGTCTAATTCAGTTCCAAGTAATATATTGTGACAACCTCACTACAAAAGTCCATTTATTTAAATCCCTGCCTATAAATTAATCATTCCATATACAATGACTAACTCAATAGTTTCATCAGTCAGTAAGATGCACACTGTATCCAATTAAAGTACTTTAGTATTATAAAATCTCACATCATATTAACATGTCAGTTGTTCTGGAACCATGAACAACTTAACAGCAGTTGATTAGAGTTAATATCAGGAAGACACAGTTTTACATTTATAATAATTGATGAACTGGAATCGTGGAAAACCGTATAACAATTTAAAGTCCTCTATTTCAAAATCTCACGTTCTAACGTGTCACAGTTATTCCGGAACCATGAATTACTAACGGCTTGTAGATGAGAGTTATTACCTCTTCAAACAAAGCAATAATAATTAACTCTATGGTATGTATGAATGCATAATTTCATCATTCATAGCCGTGAATGACCGTCATACAACTCCACATGTAACATAACTCCGGAAACATGAATAACTCACTAAATGTTTATCAGTGTTATTATCTGATCTTTATATGGTAACTGATGCCATAACTACGTATTCACTGGATTTTATTCACTTGTTGTTGTTCACTAGTTTTACCATTTACTGTCCAGACATTTCTAATAAGTGAGTCAATAGAAATACCAACAAGCATGCCCAATATAAATCAATGGAAACTTGCCAAATTCACGAGAAGTGGTATCAGGTGTTCTAGGATTTAAAATAACCTGCCTCATGCAAGACTATGAAACACTATTTGGTAGGAATGTTCAAAACGCTGTTGCTACCATTTAAATTACACATTATTCCAAATTACTATCTATATTCTAATATAAAAGTATTAGCTGTAGCTATGTGACAAGTGGTAGGAAGTGTTCTAGAATGCATCAACACACCCTGTCTCATGCATGATCCCTGTCATGACCGGTATTGAACTATGTTATTTGGTACGTCTGTTCAAAAGGTTGTTTTACTTATAAATAATAATACATGATTCATCCCTTCCTTCTACCATTTTGCTACTTAAAATTCTGTATACAAAAGTTCAACAATTCTGATTAGTCATGTGAACTTCCAGTATAAATGAAAAGTGGTATCTCATGTTCCAATAACAGTAAACATCCTAAGCACAACGTCTATCACTGCTTTAAATATTAAAGCCAACTAAAGTCTAAAATAATAATTCTGCACACAAACACAGGTACATCATCCTTTAGACATTTCAATGAATGTATAAATATTTAATATGAAAGCATAGATTATTCTGTGACATATAAATACAGTTTTAAAGATGTTATTTACATAAAATAAAATATGAACTCTGATGAAATCAATAGTTAACATCTGTTACTAGCTGTAAACATCATCGATTCCCAGCGGTTGTCACATCCAGACATCTGATCTTGTAGGTTAATCTTTAATCCAACTGATTTCATATTAATCCAACACCAAGGTCTCGAATTGATACAAAGAAATCTTTTCTT